AAAACGCAAAACACAAAGCACAAAACACAGAACACAAAACACAGAACACAGAGAACAGAACACAGAGAACAGAACACAGAACACAGAACACAGAACACAGAACACACAACACACAACACACAACACAGAACACAGAGCACAGAGTACAGAGCACAGAGCAAAGAGCATAGAGCACAGAACACGGAACACAGAACACATAACACAGAACACACAGCACAGAGCAGAGAGCACAGAGCAGAGAGCACAAAGCAGAGAACACAGAGCAGAGAGTACAGAGCAGAGGGCACAGAGCAGAGAGCACAGAGCAGAGAGCACAGAGCAGAGAGCAGAGAGCAGAGAGCACAGATCACAGAGCACAGAACACAGAACATAGAACACAGAACACAGAACACAGAACACAGAACACAGAACACAGCACACAGAACACAGAATACAGAACACAGAACACAGACCACAGAATACAGAGCACAGAGCACAACGCATAAAGCACAGAGCACAGAGCACAGAGCCCAGAGCACAGAGACAGAGCACAGAACACAGCTTTAATAATATCATATTTATGAAATAAAATCAAAGTTTTTAAGAAAGTTGAAAGATTTGAATGAAAACGCACAGGCGCACGAAAAAAACATTCATTCCTGAATTTTTTATCAAGCGTGTTTTTCATGAGTTTTTGCGTGTCGTAGAACGCATGATTTTGGTAAATAATATCATATTTGATAAATGAAATCAAAGTTATTAAGAAAGTTGAAAGATTAGAATGAAAACGCACATGTGCACAGAAAATACATGCAGTCCTGAATTTTTAATAAATTGTGATTTTCATGCGTGTTTGCGCAGCTCAGAAACGCATGATTTTGCTAAATAATATCATATTTGTAAAATGAAATCAAAATTTTTAAGAGGACTAGAGGAGGATGAAGAAGAGCTTAGGTTGGAACCTTGGGCATTAGATGGCAGCACAGTTATCAGAAGGAAATCAAGCAGGATCTCAGTTCCCCCAGAGAGATACAGTGCAGATTTAAAGGTGACCACCCCTAAATCAAGAATGGGGGCTAGGTCAATAGCACCAACTCTCAAGACTATGAAGGCTGTGCTCAAAGAGGGTTAGGCTCAGAGGCCGGAAACCACAGCACCTCTGAGGAGGAGAAGCAAATCTAGGGAGCACAGGATCAACAAGGACAAGGGCTGCATCCCTAGAAAGATTGCAGACAGGAAGTATTAATAGTAGTGGTAGTGTAAGAAGTAGTGTTAGAAGTAAGTACAAAGTAGTGGAGACAGTTAGGAATGAACAGGAGGCGGAGGAAAGTAGGAGTAGTGTAAGAAGTAGTGTTATTAGTAGGCATAAAGTAGCAGAAACCGTTAGGAATGTACAGGAGGCAGAGGAAAGTAGTTGGAGCGACACAGAAGATGAAGCAGAAAAAAGTAGTCAAGTAGGAAAAGAAGGAATTAATGTTATTTCTAACCAAAGTTCAAAGATTGCAAAAGTAAAAGATACAGTTACACTTCCACCTGGACAGGGAGAATGGGTCCATTTGATTGAAGAACCTTGGCAAAATCTTAAAAATGTTTTCTTCTTCCCAGTTTTATTTAATACAATTGTGGAAAAATGTTTGTTTGCATCTAAATTATCCCCCTGGGCAGGAGTGTCACGGTCACCTGCAATCTTCATGATTAACCATACAAATGATGTCTTTGTTCAGTTGAAGCGAGGGGAGAGCCTGGGAAGGCTGATAGTGATAAGCTTGGTGGTGCAAGAGAGAGCCAGCCTGGAGGGTACCAGGGAGGACAGAACCCAAAGATAGGCTCAACACAGTCAGATCAGCCTGGAGACGTGGATCTTGGCGAGGCTGGACAGTGGATTCATGGAGTAGTTGAAGGAGCAGGGGGGCTGGAACTACAATACTCCCCCATTATGTGAACACTTTTCTTGTCACAAGAAAACGAATATCAGAATCATAAAGCACACAAAGTTGGTAATGATTGTAGGACGGACATTCAGACAAGGATGGTATACTCGGAGTGAGGAATAGGGTTACTATTTTATGAGTGAAAGCTGATAAAGACTAATTAAGTTAGTGTAATGAATATCAGAATCACTCAGCACCTGAAAGTCAGAATTGTCAAATAGCAGATATCATAGCTGTAGGACGGAAAGAGAGTCACCCTCAATTAGGACATTCAACAAGAATGCATGGTATACCTGTAGCTTGGTATAGGCATACTTATCCAGGAATGAAAGCTGATAGGCTTAGTGAAAACTAGAGATTAGCCAATGCTCTGGCTGTTGCATACAATAGCTATAGGCCTGAGATTCACAAAACCAGGGAGTGAGGTCAGACAGGAGAGGGGAGATGAGGAAGATACTGCAGTACTGAAACCCCCTCCTACCAGACTTTAAGTTTATGTATTGCTGTCGAGGTGTTGTGATCTTTTTGATGATATCTAAGAGATGAAAATGTTTGTCCCAAGTTTGAATCTATAAATAATATGGCAGGAAATTCAAGTTGGTTGACCGGTCGCTAAATTCAAACCTCAAACTTCATTTCCCTGGTAATTCGTATCAAGCGTCATTTGTTATTTTTATCATTTAATAAATTATCTGTACCGTACATCGCTTAATATTTGGTTAGAATGAACTTAGCTTTAGCCCTTCTGGCTTTAGAGGATTTACCTCTTTTTTCATATATTGCAATAGCACTTTCATTTTTGACACTATCACCGTGCAATTTTTTACTTTTACTGAATCGTAATTTAAAGGATCTAAAAACTATATTTTAAAAAGCCCTTGAAAATTGAATGTAGAAACATTTAAAAAAACTTTTTTGACCCTTTCTAGACATTTTTAACCTCCCTAGCTCCCAAACTATTAAAGTTATCTGTCTATTTTTTTTCTTTGAGCTGGCCTTGAAAAATTGGGCTATGAACATGCATTTCAACCCTATACCTATTCTCTAAGGCCTTTTTCTAGGAAGGAGGGGGTGCCAAAAGCCCCCCACAGGCTATACATAGATTCAGACCCCCAGCCTTTATAGGGTTAAGAGATGCACATGTTTAGCAAAAAAATCGAACATTTTGCAGCTAAATTTGCAAATAAATTGAGGAAATTTCAAATAATGTACTTTTTACAACTTTGCTTCTCAGTACAGTTTTCGGGATTTACATAATGATACAAAACATTCTAAGTTTAAAATTAAGAGTTTGGCAAACATTTTAACTCTCAAATTAAAAAATGTCCAAAAATGGCAAGAAAAGTTACGTTTTTTTATGGCAGCACATGAAATAATTATATTATAAAGATTTATTCACACACAAAGATATAAATACATATATAAATGGTGTAGTTAAAATTTGTTTAAATAAATTTTTTTTCAAAATACAGGTTTCCAAAAGAAAAGAGAAAAAATATGCAAAATTATGCACAAATAGAAAACATGGCAAACACTTTTTTTGAACATTTCTTTGATTCATAAATATTTATTCTCTAGAAAAAGAGCATCTCTAAACAACATTTGCTGGGCCGCCCTGTAGCTAAGCATTAAAAACATGTTTATTACTAAAACATCTTTTCAATCGCATTTTGTTAAAAGTAAAAATAAATAACAGTGATAGTGTCGAAAAATGATTGCTATAGCAAAAAGGGAGGGAGCATCAAACGCCCCCCCCCACTTTTAGGGTTAGAAACCATGGGGGAGGTGGGATACCCCCATTAGCTTGGAGAAGCTCTGATAATGAAACAGAAGTTTTTAAAAATTAACAAAAAACGTATTTCAAATAGTTAACAAAGGAAAATACTGTTCTTTTGTTCTTTTATCTTCTTAAAATTAAATGAAACTTAAAATCTTTTAAGTATTTTGATGTTTACAAGAAGAATTGTCTGCTGATTTTTCCTTTGCTGATTGTTGAATATAGAATGATATGCTTTTTTAGGTTTTTTCTTTCAGCGATTTTTACATAAAATGAGATGTTTCTCTATCACACGAATATAGAGCATAAATGATTAAAAGTCTACAAAAAAAGCTGCACATCTGTGACTTATTTAACCCTATCCCTGCTGGGGTACTTGAAAACCAGAATACAATGGGGGGGGTCAATTTGACCCCCCCCTCTAAATCCCATGTTTTATGGCCAAAAATGACAAATGATACATCATTAGAAAGCTCTTGTGCTCTACTTTTAGAATCTGCAAAAAAAATTGCAAATTTGCGAAAATTGAATTTTTTATCGCAAAATCCAGTTTTATAGTAAAAATGTTTTCAAAAAAAAATTTGTCCAAAAAATGAAAAATTATACATTTTTGAAAAGCCCTTGACCATGCCATTTCAAATATGCAAAAATTTTGCAAAATTTTAAAAAACCTGAATTTTAATCAAGAAAAACTAAAAATGTGCAAATTTCCTTTGACAGGTTGTTTGCAAAAAATTTGCAATTTTTTTTTCGCAAAACTTGTGCAATCCGTTTCCTTATGTCATAGTCTTTCCAAAAAGCTAAATTTTATCAAAATCTGACAAGTGAAAGTGGGTCAAAACAAAGATTTAGTTTGTTACAGGCAAAGCAGTCATTCAGGCAGTGTGCCTGAGGACTCAGGCAGTTAGTATTAAAGCCCGGTTTTAGGCCTAAAGGGAGGGCTTTGGGTATGTAAGAAAAGTCAGAAAATTTCAACAGCCTCAGACCAATACTTTTTGAGTTATGTAAAAAAAACTACAGGGGGGGGTCAAATTGACCCCCCCCCCCCAGCGGGAATAGGGTTAGCAAGTGGTTATTCAGTCTTTGTATCCAAAATTATATCTTAAAGGCTTTATTCTTTCAGCACCTGATCCAAGCTGTTGAATGTCATAGACAGGCTACAGCCACTGAATCAAACCCCGACTCATCATGAAAACCCATTTTTTGATTGGAAAAATGTCAAGTCATATTAACTAACTCCCTTATAGCTGTGGGTTAATTAAAAAAAAACTTGATAAGAATATTTGATCTATTAGAATTAAGACAATCATAAATAAATGGCCAAATTTTATTTCTCCAATTAATATTTAGTAAATAATTCCAGTAAAATCATTAACGTAGAGGTGGTACAGTTGAGCTGTGATTAATGGAGTGAGTAGCTCCATCTCTTGTAGAATTTCTTAGGGCTGGGGTGCTTGGTTGTGCGAATTGGGCTCCTGGTGTAAATTATGTTCAGGTCTCCATCCTCTTCTTCATCTTCCTCTGAGGAGGAAGATGACTCTTCACTTTCATCTTCCTTGTGCTGGAGATTTTCCATAAGTTTTTTTATCATTTTGTCATTCAGTTTTCCACACTCCTGAGTTTGGTATCCATCTTCCATTTCTTCTGATGATTCCTCTTGCTCAAAACAGTAGTAAACTCCATTCCTACTGTAGAGGCATCCATCATCACAAGCCGGTTCCATAGCCTAGATAATCCATCTTTACATGTGTATTGTGTAGATTGTTTTTCTCTAACAAAATTTTTAAATTTTCATTAGTTTTACTTACGGACTCTAGTTTATAAGATCCAGCTTTAGGTCCCTTGAGGATATTCTTGCAAGGAGGACACATCTTTCCTAATCATCAAATTGAAGTCAATTTTTGTCATCAAGTTTTAAAATTAGGAAAGAACTGCGTAGTTTTTAGTTTTGTAATTATCAAGAGACCAACTTAAAAAAAATCTTAACAGACAGTTTTGACAATTGAACAAACACAAAATCATTTAAGAAAGTTTTAGTTATGAAAGAACAATAAAATAATTTTCTGTTTAATTGAAACAACCAATAGATTTAACTAATTATTACAATGCTCAGCGCTAGGTATAACTAACAAAGTTTAATAATTATGGGGATAAACTTAATGTCATCTTTGTCTTACCCATTGCCATTTTAAGCCTGAAACTTTCCATATCCATGTCATTTAAGCCTCCCATACAACCCATATCTGGCTTTGGCATTGGTTTTCTGGCTGGCTTAGGACCAGGCATGTCATCTTTAGACAGAACAACCTGAATTTTTATTCAAATATATTACATAAGATTACCCAAGCCGGTTCACCATAACCTCCATTATTGAAAGCACTTGATATGCAAAATTGCTAAGTTACTTTTCAATGTTCAAACAATTGCTTGCTTACACAATGCCAAATTTTGAGCCTGAGATAAAATATATCCAAAAAGTATTCATGCTAAAACAATAGATTTTTTGTATATTTTTCCAATTTTTTTAAAATTATAATATTTCAAAGATTAACAAAAGAAAACTTTAACAAAATACAATTTTGAAGTGAGGGAAAGGAATTGAGTTTTTGCCACAAACTCAAAAAGTTTAATCCCTATAATTCTCCTACCTAATGAATTTAACCTTTGATATTTCAAACTATGATTATTTCATCTAACATAATTCATAGTCTGAAATATCAAAGATCTACAGCATCGGTCTCCAAAGATATAGTGATCAGAAAATAAAAGTTTGTGGCAAAAACTCAATTCCTTTTTTAAGAATATTTTAAACTAAGAACCAACACAAGAAACTACTCTAGGCAGAGCCAACTCTGTCTTCAAATTATGTTTTTACCTCAGAATATATATACTATAGAATAACAGGTGGCACCTGTATTGGTATGACATTGTAAACATGTATTGGTATGTTATTGTGTACATGTAGTAAACTGTTCTTGGGGGATTTGTTTTGATCAGTTACATGATTTCTCAGTATAAAAAAGCATGAGGATTGTTCAACGTTAAATTGTTACATGGATAAAACATATAAGATAAGATTTCAATCTTTTCTTAAAGATGAAAAGTTTAAAAAAAACGTGGAGTAACTTCACAGGAAAGCCAGGTTTCTGGACTCCGAGAAAATTTAGTGTTGTCTGTTCAAAACATGTTGAAAACAAATACGTTTCTGTACGAAAGTTAAGTTATACCGCTGTTCCCAGTCTCCATCTTCCCCACCATCCACATCAACAGGAACAGATAGATAATGGAAGAGGGAGAGTCTTGACTTATTTACTTAAAATTTGAGGTTACACAGATAACAAGCATTTACTTATGTGTTTGGCCAAGTACTGTGGTCATCTAAATGTGAAAAAATACATTTCTGTATTTTATTGTAGGTAATTATTTGAGGTTACAAAGTTTGGCCTTGCTCGGGCCCGAAGAGGGGGGGGGGCGGAAAAGTTACCCCAATTATTTCCATTTTGTTTTGGTCTTCTTTTTCACATTTTGAAAGGAAGCAAACTATTTGAAACAGTTTTGAAAATGCGTGTTTGATTAATTGAAGTAAAGATAAAAAGATAACAAGAGAAAGTTTGGATAGTGAATCTTCAAAATCCTCCCCAAAGATTACTAAACATCTGGACATTTATGTATTGTACTGAATAACCCCCACAGTCCAACACTTCCCAAATCAAATGCTGCCACCTGTTATTCTATAGTATATATATTCTGAGGTTTTTACTCATTAAATTAGAGTTCTGAAAGTTTAAGGTTAAAAATCGAGTTACTCAATGTGGTTCAGCAGGAGCTTTAGTTTAAAGATGAAGAGCTTATAACCTGGATTGTTAGAGAAAGGAGGAGGATGATCTTCATGTTGTTTCGTGCCTAAGCTTCAAGCTTGGACTGATTTTAACCCACCAGGTTCTTGCAATTTACTACTTTGAAACAAGTGTAGATGGCCTTGAAGCCTAATTATTTGGAATATATTCATATTTTAAAAGTAAAGATAAATGCTAGAGACTTGTAACAGATGTGGTTTCATTTGGAAAAAATATATTTTTGCTGAAAATATCAGAGTAGTTCTAAATGAATATCAATTCAATAAATAAAAATCAATTTTAAAATCCAAAAATGTTGCTACTTTCTTTCTCCAGATATATCTCTGAAACCTGAATTTATTTAAAAAAGATTAAACTCAATGAGAAGGAGAAAAGACTTAACCAAGATGTGGAATATGAAGGACAGAGAGACAGTAATGAGGGGTTTAAAGTATTTTTATTTATACAAAGTTCTGATTTTCAATCCATCAGTAAAGAGAATGACATTTGAAATTCTCTACACATTGTTATAACCCTTAAAAAAACTTTATTACACTTGAGTTAGAATTTTTTCAAACTCTTAGCATTGCCGCTATCCCATCAAAATCCTAGTGGACTCAGATGTTTTTTACCCTTTTTTTTCAGAAATTTAATTTTTTTACAGGCTAATGTATGTAATATTTTTAAATATTGAAAAGTGCAAGGCATAGTTTTGAAAAGAGAAATAGGAAAAGGTCCGGAAAGAGAAAAGTATGGTTTAGGTTTGAGGTTAGTAGGGGTTATTCAGATAAGATTATGGTCAGCTGATTCCAAAACCCTACTCCTCCCTAAACTGAAACAAACTCATCTGTAACCTAAACCATAATCATCTCTAAACATAATTCTTTTTAACTTTAATAATTTATTTTAATTAAATTTTACAATATTTTAAAATTTCAATATGATATCAGATGGAAACATTTTAGACTTCTATATTTCTTGTTTTTCATTCTTTCTTCTTGATTGTTCATTCCTTGTCCATCCTTGAATCATACTTCGGCTAATTTTGAAAATAAAAATAAATGAATTTTTTGGATGTTTTCTGCAGCTAGCCAAATTGCAAAGGCAGAACTATTTTTTGGTGCCCTGTATCTATATTCTTTCTTGTTTTTATTGAATTTTGCTTCAGTCATGTTACTGAGTCAACTCCTGCATTCCTAACATTCATAACACACTTTCAATAAAATTTTCTTGATGGGGGGGAGAGGGATGAGGGGAGGGGGGCGTTTTGCACATTTTCCAGTTTTTTATCTCAAGTAGGACATAGAGGGAACTTCTCCACTCCAATCTGAATCCTACTCCTCTCTAATCTGAATCCTACTCCTCTCTAATCTGAATCCTACTCCTCTAATCTGAATCCTACTCCTCTCTAATCTGAATCCTACTCCTCTCTAATCTGAATCCTACTTCATCTAAACAAGCACTATTCATCTCTTATCTGAACACACTCCTCTGTAATCTGAATCCTACTCATCTCTAATCTGAATCCTACTTCATCCAAACAAGCACTACTCATCTTTAATCTGAACACTACTCCTCTCTAATCTGAATCCTACTCCTTTCTAATCTGAATCCTACTTCATCTAAACAATCCCTACTCATCTCTTATGTGAATCCTACTTTTTCTTACTGAATCCTATTTTTTTCCGATCCTAGCCCAATCATTTCTATTCTTAAATCCTGCTTATCTCTAATTAGAACCGTTCTCTCTACCTGAATCACCTGGACCCAAGACATCTCTGGAATATAATCTTCATTTCTAATCTGAACCCCACATATCTCTAATCTCACCCCTGCTCATCTCTAACCTTCAGGCCTTTTGTAATTTTTCTTTTTATTCCTTTTCGTTGACAGAGCGCTCAGCATTTATATTTTATATTGTTTAATTTATACATTCCGAACCTTTGTAAAATATGTTACCAGTAAAATCAATCCTTCCATATTAAGGTGATTGATTTGTGAGTTTTTTTAGAAATCAGCCCACCAATTTACCAATTGACAATTTAATATCGGAGGAATTACCGTATAGGCCTCAATAAAAATATTGAAAAATTTTATGTTACATATTATTTTCTTAAAAATTGTATGCTGATTTTAAATCCGAAAAACACTTAAAAATAAAAACAAAAATTAAATAAGTTAGAGCTAGAAAACTCATCAAAAACAATATTACCACATCACCAAAAAATATCTGTCCAAAAAGAGATCAAGGTTTTTTTCAAGTTCTGATGAAAATTATTTTTCCACATTAAACTTTTCTTTTGTTTTGTAATACCATTGTAATTATATTGTGTTCCTGTAGCAAAACTTGAGGTTTAATGTAATATATACGTTGTCATTCCTTCACATAGTATACGCAAATCTGTAATGTGATTAACCTATTTCATTTCATCATACCCAGAAATGTAATTTAATGCATTATAGATAGTAACCGCTCATAACTTGTAATTAAGCTCTAAATAACTAAAATCTAATATTAACTATGAAATATAGATCAGTTGACTGAGACTCTGCTTTTCATTATGTTATCAGAAGCCTGTAAAGTAAGCTTGAAAGAAAGCTTTGGTACTAGGGTTTCCAGTGAACGAAACATTTTGCAGAAAAATGCGAAAATGTTTGGTCGCATTTTGCAAACTCATTCCATCAATTGGGCTAGTGGATAAATCCCTCTTTGAAAATTTCCATTTTTTTTGCAAAATTTTCGCATTATTTTTTGTGTGAAATTTTTGCACTTTTTCGCAAAATATTTGCATTTTTTGCAAAATATATGCAATTTCAAGCGAAATTTGTCGAAAAATGCAAAATGTTCGTGTAACAATTTTTCCTTATCGCTTGAAACCCTGTTTGGTACTCATTGAATTATTCAAGTTGAGAATGCCTGTGTCGCAATTTCACTGGACTGTGTGTCCTTTAGAACAGGGGAGTTAAGCGTTGCTGAGAATTTTGTCTGTGTTTCATTTAGAGCCTAAAAGTTGATCCTGGTTGAGATATTGCCTGAGCATGGCCTTTAGAATCTGAGAAATTAGTCCTGGTTGATGTGAAAACAAGTGAGACCTGGATAGATTTGTCTTGAGTAAATTGTTATGGCGTAGGCGTTTACTACAATCCTAGCTGCCTGTCTTGTGGTACATGTGATTTGAAGATGGATACAAATCTTCTGCGATTTATTATCAGTGTACAATAGATTTAAGGAAAGATAATAAACCTTCAAAAAGTTTTGTCTAGCAACATGAGTCATAGAAGTTTTCATAGTACTTGAGAAGGATAATTAAATTCATCTGTGCAGTCAGGCATTAAATCGGCAAAAGTGTACATTTTTTGTCTATACAATATATATTTTATACTCTTAGTTATACAAATAATATTTTTATAAAAATAAGAAGTGATGAAAATGGAATAAAATGTTAACAAGTATTACACATTGCTTCACCCTATTAGGGCTCATCAGTATGGCTCTATACATTAGAATTTGATTTTCCAGTTGCAGCTTTAAGAGGAATAAATTATCTACCTTACGATGTTACCCATAGGACGAAATGTAAATTACTGTAGTGCTAAAGTAATATAAATACATAGGTACGAACCCTAATTTTGCATAGTAATAAGACATCTTATTGTTGACACAAATAAAAGAACAACAGGGATATTCGGTAACTTTATTGAATAATTGCATGAAATGAGAAATAAAAGCAAAGTTTAAAAATATTGGCCCTTAATTGGGAGTATCTAAACGGTTGAAAATGAAATAACATTGATTAATAGTGTTGAAAGGAAAGGAACAGTTGGAGCTTCATGATGTTCAGCTCACAGGTGTCAGCATCTTGGCAGCAAAGGGTTCACATCTAGGTGACGGTCCTGGAGGGTTTGCAGTCTGGATTATGTGTAGGGAGGAACTTGAATTGCCTCTCAACCCCGGGACATGCGACTGCTTTGTGGATTTGGACATGATGGACGCTTAGACATTAGCAGCATTTGTTGCTAGAGTAGACATCGGCGGCAGTATGAAGGAGTTAGTAGTTCCAGATCAGAGGTGTTCACATCTCGACATTCTAAAGCTACTGCTAACTGACGCTGCTCTCCACAAGTAGAGGCGGTAAAGGGGGGGGGGGAACATGAGGAGACACATTTGGAGCGGATATAGTATTATAGTATTGTGAATCTTCCGCGGTCAACTTCGCTACACAGTAGTAATCGTCTTCGTGTTTTCTTGAATTTGTTACACTTATGCATATTTATAGGAACAGTTAGAATGTAACTTTAAACACACCCCCCCCCCCAGGGGGAAACTATATGATAACTACATGATAATTATAATAATTTAGGATTTAGCTGCACATTTTTTTTGATAAAAAGAAGTTAAAAAACGGTTTCATTTTTATAAAGTATTTTTAGGTAACTTTTAGCATAGAGTTGCACATAGTTTTCAATAGCGATTAGTTTAGTCTTGAGAACGATTGTTTTCAAAAATGGAAAAACAATTGTTTTAGAATAAAAATGACAGTTTAGAAAGAAGTTTAAATAATTTTTTAAATTTGAAAATATTTAAATTGCTTTATTTTTATTTTCAAAAACGTTATAAAACGTTCTAAAGAGTTTGTTTTCAAAATGATTTCAAAACTATAGTTTTACAGGACCGATCTTTTTATCCTTCCTTCATAACTTACTTTCATTCCTCTCAAAAAGAATGGTTTTCAAAAACAAATGTTTTCAAACGATCTTTTTCTCATTGTTAACAAAACGAAACAAATGTTTTTCAAAAAAGTCAAAACTGCCGAACCTTACCTAAACATATCACCAGAAGGCGGAGGAGCTGGCCGAGACGAGAGAGGAGATGGTAAGATCATGGAGGGATGAGAGGGAGAGATTGTGTGAGATTTCTCCTCCTCTAATCAGACTATGGTCAAGGATTCTAGGTGATTGGCCCAGCCCAACTTCCGGAGGTTGTAGGTATCTACTCCAAGCCCCGTGAATGGTTCCTGGTACAGATGGATGAGCTGTCCCGTGCCGAGATCCTCTGGTCTGATGGGAGACAGATTGAAGTTCCTGGGATCATATTACCCAGGTGTTAAAACTGTAGTTTGAAGCTAAAAAGATAAGAATAAATGCATACAAGAGGATAATACAATTCAATAATCTTAATAAGTTTATAATTACCACATTAGTCCTCCGACACTTGCAAGTCTCAAAGAGCAAAAATTGTATTCTTTTAATTCCATATTTTTTGTAAAATATACTCTGTGAATAAAACTGTATTTGAGAATTAAAAGGAAATATTTTATCATTTATTTCAGTCTGTAGATATTGATAATAATGAGAAGATGTTAAATATTGAACAGATGCCTGAACAGATCTAATTAACTCAAACAACCTAGGCTATAGCTAGTACTATCAGTAATATTAGCTTTTACCTAATTTAACATTATTATAAAGAGTTATTCACACACAAAGATATAAATACATATATAAATGGTGTAGTTTTTTTACTCACACAGTAAGTTTTTAAGGGAAATATTATATCAACAGCTAAGTAACAAGGCATATTTTGCGGGAGAATATTTTTATAATTATATTCAATCATTTATAGGGTAACTTGGAAAGACTGAAATTCAAGGGCGGACATAAGGATTATTGAATTTTCTGGGGGGAGGGGANTTACTCCCTTGAAGGATGGTAATTAACACCCAGGACACTAATTACTCCCTTGAAGGATGGTAATTAACACCCAGGACACTAATTACTCCCTTGAAGGATGGTAATTAACACCCAGGACACTAATTACTCCCTTGAAGGATGGTAATTAACACCCAGGACACTAATTACTCCCTTGAAGGATGGTAATTAACACCCAGGACACTAATTACTCCCTTGAAGGATGGTAATTAACACCCAGGACACTAATTACTCCCTTGAAGGATGGTAATTAACACCCAGGACACTAATTACTCCCTTGAAGGATGGTAATTAACACCCAGGACACTAATTACTCCCTTGAAGGATGGTAATTAACACCCAGGACACTAATTACTCCCTTGAAGGATGGTAATTAACACCCAGGACACTAACTACTTTATTGGAAAAAGTAGAACAATAATCACACCACCAGAGTGTTAACCCTATTTGGCCTGGGGATTTCAACATTTCATAGCTCTTTGGAAAGCCTATAAAAAAAGCAAGCAAATTGCAAAATTTTGGTAATGAAATTTTGCACAGATTTTGCACAGACGCCTTTAAAGGAAGTTTGATTTTCAGTTTTCTTGAATACACATTAAGCAAATGTATTTTCAAAATGTACAATTTGTTGCAATTTTTGCAATTTTATCTTTGCACAATTTTTGCATGATAATTAGATTTTGCAATAAATATTCTAATTTTTCCAAATTTTCCATTTTTTTGCAGATTATTGAGGTAGAGCCAAAGGGCTTTCCAAAAACGAATTAAATGTTATAGATTTGTATCACAAGAGGCCCCCCCCCCATAGGCAACCAATCAGTAAAGCAGACGTCAGACTGAATAGGGAGTTACAGGGTGTCCCAATAAACATGGGAATTCAGTAACGAATTCAATATCGTCTTTGCATATAATTCTTTGATTTAGTATAGTTTATACCTACCGAAAAAGCTTTAATCTGAAATTGCAGTATACAGACGGAGTAAACTTGTCCGTCTTCACTGTTAATCTTGCAGACATTATAGACACATCTTTGCAGTATTTTACTCTTTTCATAAAATAAACTCTAGCAGACATAATAATATTATGGCCTTTGAAATTAGGTACAGAGTGTCCCATATCATATTAGATTATCTCCCATCTTTAACACCTAAATACGCACATAATACTTGAGAAATCATAGCATTTTCTGCAAAAAGAAATTTCTATTAGCCTTATTAAATTTTTCAAAATGATTCATTCTTCTTTAGATACACTCAATTTAAACAACGACGGGTTTAAATAAATACTTTATTGACTAACTAATTTTACTTTATCTTTTTATATCTAAGAAATCGAAAATATGCATATCATGGTGACATGGCAGATCTGTAGCTCTTCTTGCCGCGTCTCTGAATCCGCCACATTACTCCCCCCAAGAAGGAACGGCAGAGTTAAGGCAGAGCAGGAACTTCTTCCCCTAGCTTGTCTGTACAGGTTCCTTCTCAGCATAACTGTAGGTTTGTTGAGGAAAGTTACAGATTTCTTCTTGGAGGCGGAAGAGTTCACAGCGGAGGATGGCTCAAGAGGATGTCTTGCTGGGCGAAGAGGAGGACGTCCTCGAGGCGGAGGATTAGCTGGAACCAAGGGGAGTCCGAAAACACTGGCTTAAGAAGATCAATCGAGACAGAATCCACCTTGTTACCAATCTGGAGGCGGAAGAACTTGTTCCGCCACTCTAAAACCAAGTAAGGACCACGGTATAGAGGGGCAAGAGAAGGTTTACTGGCGTCTTCTCTTACGAAAACGAACCTAGCAGTTGTAAGAGAGGCTGGAACTTCAGCTGGAGGCTGCTGTGGAACTTGATTAGTTTGAGGAACGGAGAAACCGGATATAGCCTTCCCTATCTTACTGAGGAACTGAGAACTTGGAAGTTCTGGACCATCCAGAAACTCTCCTGGAATTGTTAAGGCGGAGCCGTAGACTGCCTCGGAAACAGAGAACCCTGTGTCTTCTTTTGGAACGGAACGGAGTCCAAGCAAAACCAGAGGAAGGTGAGAGACCCAGTCAGAGTTAGCAGCTCTGGCTCGGAGAGAAGACTTCAGAGATCAATGGAAACGTTCAATCATACCATTTGATTGAGGATGAAAACTCGTTGTCTGGGAGGCTGAGATTCCAAGAGAACAACAGACTCCGGCCCAGACGGAAGAGGTGAACTGTGCGCCTCTGTCAGAGGTCAAGGTTGAAGGAACACCAAATCTTGAAATCCAGGTTGAGATAAAAGCTTTAACACAAACCTCAGTAGAAATTGATGATAAAGGGACTGCTTCCGGCCAGCGAGTAGTCCTGTCAATCATGGTTAGGATGTAAGAACAATCCTGACTCGAGGGTAGAGGTCCAACTATATCAATGTGAACATGAGTAAAACGTATGGAAGGAACTGGAATAGCAGGAACAGAAGATTTCACATGAGTTTGAATCTTACTCTGTTGACACTGGAGGCAAGCTCTGGCCCATACTCCGACATCTCGAGACAAACCAGGCCAAACGAACCGTGCAGAAATTAATCTCCGAGACCCTCTGACACCAGGATGAGATACGTTGTGCAGAGCTAGGAAGAGAGGTTTACGGAGAACTTCTGGAACTAGAGGTCTGAGATTTCCTGTAGAACTATCACATAATAATACTCCGGAATCCAGAGTCACAGTCACTATTGAAAGATAAGACAAATTCTTCATAGCTGTTACTGACGGACAAACTTGCTGAAAATATAAAATCTTTGAAAAATCAAAGTTTGGAATGGAAAAATCTTGTCGGATTGTATAGGAAGGTGGAGAATCTGACACCTCCGACACCGCCGACACCGCCGACACCGCCGACACTGCCGACACCTCCGGAACAGGATCCTCGATAGGAGTAGGCTTCGGAGCATCATGAGAGGGGGAAGGGGTTTGGAGCTGCGGCGGAGCTGGATTTAGAAGAGGTGGAGGTTGTAATGGAGCAGGGGAACTGGAGCACTGAGTGGGGCGAGAAAGGGCATCAGCCACGGTGTTCTCCTGACCAGGACGATGGAACTGGTAAATTCAGCTACGTAGGCCAGGTGTCTGTGCTGTCTAGCTGTCCAGGGCGGAGAACTCCTGAACAAGGCAGAGGTTAGAGGTTTGTGATCAGTAAATAGCAAAAATTCTCTACCTTCTAGCATGAAGCGGAAGTGTCTGATGGAGAGATAGGCCGCCAGGAGTTCTCTGTTAAAGGCGGAGTATTTTTTCTCTGCATCTGATAGTTTCCTGGAGAAAAAAGCTAGAGGAAACCAGGCTTCATCAACCCTCTGTTGGAGTACAGCACCCATGTGTGAATCAGAGAGGCGTCCACTGCGATAGAAATTGGAGCTGAAGGGCGAGGATCGATTAACTCTGGAACTCTGATGAGGAGATCCTTTGCATGACGGAAAGCAGCATTGAGGTCAGGAGTCCAGGTGAGAGATTTGCCAGGACCCTTCAGAGCGTCAGTGAGCAGAGCTAGTACTCTTGCAGCCCCCCGGAGAAATTTCCTGTAAAAATTGATCATACCAAGGAACCTCTGTAGAGCAGGTTTGTCTGACGGAGCAGGGAACTCAGAGATTGCTGCTGTGTGCTTGACCAGAGGAGAACAACCACTTGCAGAGAGAACATGACCCATGCTGTCGACAGAGGAGGTGGACTTGACGAAGGTGATACACGTGCTGCTCCAGGCTGGTACTGAACACTAGAATATCGTCCACGTACGTGGACAGTAAGGCAGGTCACCGAGGAAAGAATCCATCATCCTCTGAAAAGTATTACCCGAGTTCCTGAGGCCAAATGGCAGGCATTGGAACTCGAACATTCCGAACGGAGTGATGATAGCAGTCTTGCAAATATCTCCTTCATCCATGGGAACCTGGTAGTAGCCCTTCTGCAGGCCGAACTTCGAAAAAACTGTGGATCTGGCAACTCTTGACGTGAAATCCGCAATGTTGGGTAGTGGATAACGATCAGGAATTGTAACAGTATTTAAACACCTGTAATCTCCACAAGGACGCCAACCTCCATCCTTCTTCTTGACCATATGAAGAGGAGACGACCAGGGAGAGTTGGATCTACGAATAATTCTTGCCTCCTCCATATTGGCAAACTCTGCTTTGGCTACTGCCAACTTATCAGGATCCAATCATCGAAACATAGAGGAATAACTCGAGAACCTGAACATGTGAGAGAAGAACCATCTGCAGTTAACAGTTTTACTCCAGAATCTTCTCCAGAGGATCCAGGATAAGGAAACACCGATACAGAGGCATCAGAGTCGATGAGGAACCTCCTGGAACTCAGGGAATCCTGAAGATAAATTAGAGGAGATGAGGTAGAGGGCCCGGCAGGTAGGGTACGAACATCCTCCTGCCGGTGAACTAGTTTCCCGACCAGGAACACGGAGCTCTGCATTTCTTGGCCTTGGAACCCCAGGAACTATGGTAATAACACATGGTAGGAGATAACCACCTGTTATCCTGGTGGCTGCCAGCGTGAGGAGTAGCTGAACGGTGGGGCCGGTTGGTAGCTGAGGATCTAACGGAGTTAACAGACTCCTCCTGGGCGCTGGAGACAGCATAAACAGGCGAAGAGGAAACTCTGCTCTTATAGATTTCGTCAGCTTTCAAGGCCAAGGATATAGGATCAGAAAAATCATCCCTGAGTTGATGAGCTCGAACGTCAGCGGGCAATCTCTTGAGAAACGCTCCACGGAGGAAGAAGCATGGCTTGTGATCAACAGGCAGTAAAGCAAGCATGTTTGACATGAGTTTGGACGGCTTCATGTCACCGGAAAGAGGGAGGTTAGAAATTGCCTCATACCTTTGATAGTCGTTGAGAGCAAACAACTTCAGCAACCAGTTCTTCAAAGCTTCGTAGGGTTCGGAAGAAGGAGGAGATTTGATAAGATCTAGAACCTGGTTAGCAGTCTCCTGGTTGAACGATGAGACCCAGTAGTAGAACTTGGTGGTGCTGGAGGTTACTCCCTTGAGGGCGAACTGACCCTCAACCTGGACAAACCAGGCCTCCGCAGAATCAGGCCAAAACGCTGAAACTTTCACAGAAACTGTATTTAATAAGTCCAGCGAGCTGTGTTCAGCTTGGACTCGGACATTATCACCGTCCTTAGGCATTATCACTTGAGCGTGTATCTAATAAGAGTTAAACGGAACCAACTCAACAGTTTATCAGCCTATAGAAAAGTTTATTAGATAAATACTTTATAGACTAACTAATTTTACTTTATCCATCTAAGAAATCGAAAATATGCATATCATGGTGATGTGGCAGATCTGTAGCTCTTCTTGCCGCGTCTCTGAATCCGGCTTAGACTTGGATCGTCTTTTGCCACACTTCTTAAATTTTCTGATTTGTCCCCCAAATCGTAATTTAGACCCATTGACACGGTCTAATTTGATGTGGGACACCCTGTATTTAAATGCTAACTCATAACAAAGACGATATCGAATTCGTCTCTGAATTCCCATGTTTTTTGGGACACCTGTACCATCCATGCTTTGGAGTAATTAGTGCCCTGAGTGTTAATTACCATCCCTCCGGTACAGTAATTATTTTACCAAGTGTTAATTATTATTGGGTAATTAGTGTTCTGAGTGTTTATTACTTTCCCCCTGGCGGACTTATTAATGTCCTGAAGTAATTAGTGTCCTAAGTGTTAATTAATATCCCTCCAGTAGGTAGAGTTTTTAGTGTCCTGAGTGTTGATAAGCATCCCATGCTTGTTAATTACCATCCTTCCAAAGGGGTAATTAGTGTTCTAAGTGTTAATTACCTTCTCTCTGGTGGAGTTATTAGTGTCCTGGGTCACGGGTGTTAATTACCAACCATCCAGTAGAGTAATTAGTGTCTTGAGTGTTAATAATTATCCATGCAATGAAGTAATTAGTGTTCAAAGTGTACTGCTATTTCACACAGAAGAGCTGCTGAAAAATGATGATAAGTTTCTTCGTTCTGCAGCGATATAGGGATTGAGATTCTGCTTGCTGAAACCACATCTAAGCCTTAAAAGCCCAGAACTGGGGAAGTTTTAGAGCAACTGATTGAATTTCAGTCATTTAGACTGGGCATAGTTCTGTTCATGGAATGGAGGTTTTCGAAAATTAACTGAAGAATCTATGAAAAAACGACAAAAACCGTTAATTTTTAACCCAATAACAGTTTAAAACGAAAATGGAACGTTTTTTAAATACATTGAACTTCTGTTTAAAATTGCATTGAACTTTTATGTGTTTGATGTTTTTAAATGTCGTCTTTTGTGTTACCTTTAATGCTGAAAATAGATTGCAGTAACCTTTACATTTTGATAAAAACGATTTGACTACATGTTAAGGCCGTTATAATACAAAAAGTCTTTACGGATGCATGGCCGGTTAATGATTTTTTAACCGTTAAAAACAAATTTGTTGTGCTGCTGTGCCAATAATGTTGAAATTGACCGTTAACCGCTGCGCCCTTAACGATTTCATAAAACGTTAATACTGTAAAAGACCTTTAATGGCTGCGCCGTTAACATTCCGTTCTTAATTGTTGGAACTTATTGTTAACAAAACGGCTAGAAAAAGTCATCATGCTTCTATATGGGGTCACCCACTTAAGAAGTAAGATAGTTTAACCAGATATAACATTTATTATATATTTAACTGCAGATTAAAGAGACTATTATGCAGGAGGACGTTTTTATCTGATGCAGACTGGAGAACTACTAGATTTCTTCAGGAGAAAATCTTTCCTGTATTTTCTTCTTTCATTTCAAGGATTCCTAGTTTGGATAATTAGGACTGGAAACAGGGGGCGGAAACGTCATGTGTGTGTGTCTGTACCAAAAGAGTGTGTGTAAGTAATTGGGAACCGAAGATGTGTACTGTAGGTATATACAGAACATACAAATCTCGGTATTTGCACAGTCTAGGAGAGTACATTTGTTTATTGTTAATTGTTTACTTAAAAATAAGTTTAATATACATGTTGTATATAATTTTAATATTTAAGTCAACACTATAAGCCAAATTTTCATGCAAAGAATATAATTTGATTAAAGTTTACAATAAACTAGTCTTTATTCAAGCTTAATTATAATTTATAATAGACAACATTGTTCTGCAATTTCCTTGACTGTAGTCATGTTGTGTGTCTGTACCAAAAGAGTGTGTATAAAGTTTAACGAACTTGCCTGCTAAGCAGTACGACTGGCTTTCTCATGCCAGACCAGCGCCATTTCCTTTCCCTTTATTCCTATTCCCTGACTGGAAAGCTTAACAAATGGTCACCACTCTCAACCTTTACAATGTCATAGTTTTGACATAAATTGACATAAATATCTTTAGAAAAGTTTAAACAATTTTTCAATGTGTATGTGTATGACAGGAAACACATAAATCAAATTTAAGAATCATGCATATTAGATTTAATAACGACAATTATATTTAAACACATTTTAAACTGATATTTATTTTCACTGCTAAACTTTTTATGTATTTTTTTCATTCATATATATTTGTAACTAAAATTCCGTTTTTTACAAAAAGATCGTTGATTAAATCATGTTCTATATCTGGCCAGATTACACGTGTAGTCACCTAAAATTATCAAACTATTTAAAAACAACTATTGTGCCAATTCAAACAAATTAAGTAGACCCATTAGCAAATAGCTAGTCTTAAATAATGCATAGTATAATTTCTTTTCTAGGGCTATGCAAATTATATTTTATATATTATATATGTCAAAAATCTTTATGTAAAACCTCAATATATGAAAGGTATTTAAACATAGAGAATAGAATATATATAGAGAGGAATTTACTAGAAAAAAGTGTAAAACGGCCATTTTGTTGTACTGTTTCCATACTGCAGGCGTACTTCACATATTTATGCTACATAACCTGTTGGGCCCTGGAATATCATTTTATAGATAATCTAAAATTATTGTTAAAAGAAAGCCAAATTATGAAATAGGCTGGTTTCATAATTGACCAATGATCATTTCAGATAGACTTTATGCCTTCCACTTTACAAACGATGATTTTCCGTTATAACTATAAATCAAATGCTGTTTTTTATTCACCTAATTCATTTTAAAGTTTATTTAACAGTTTAAAAAATTCGAAATTGAAATGGATAGTCTAGGGAACATACTGTATTAATGTACTCTACTGCATATAATTTGTGAACATTGACATGATTTGTACACTTTGAACTCCCTTTCAGGCTGAAAGAGACTGAAAAAATTCATACCGAGAGATTCTTTTAATTCCTCTCTATATATTCTATTCTCTATGTATTTAAACAAATCTATTTTTGAAGATACAAATATTCAAATCAGATATTATTCAAATCAGATTTTACGGCCCCATCTGTTTATTGTGAATAATCTGTAAAAAAAAAAAAATACCTTATGACCCCAAGGTAGATATTGATATCCCACAGATTCCATATAGTTAATAATATCCTGTCTACTACCTTCACTTCTTTTCCCTGTATCATTAACTGTGATCGATTTTTTATTTATTTAGAATCACACTCCCTTGAACCCTTTATCCATAAGAAAACAATTGTTAAAAACGACTCACACCGAAGAACGCACCGTCCATGCAAATTCTGAAAGATGCAACATTCAACTCGTAAGCAAATCATTTTAATTCCAAACAAATCATTAAGATATTACAAACAGTGGTCATCGATTATTTTTCGACGCATTCGTATATAGTTAATATTTCATAATATTTTTGATTTTTTTAAATAGTCTTTGCTGGCGTTGGGTTTTTTGAACATTCCTGGAAAATATGAAAATGTCGTCTTCATTATCAAAAATCCTCGAAACAGGAATAAATGTTTTCAAAAGTAACTCTCAGATCATGAAAAATACAAAATAATACAAAATATCAAAAAATAATCGATGACTATTGTTTGTAATATCTGAATGATTTGTTTGGAATTAAATTGATTTGCTTGCGATCCGAGTTCAATGTTGCATCTTTCTGAATTTGTATGGACACTACGTTCTTCGGTATTAGTCGTTTTTTAACAATTTTCTCCTTATGGACGCAACAGATAGAAGTAAGATTAGTAGCGATCAAAAGCACTTTTTTATCGCATTAAGCCTATACCCCCTTTCATTTTTCGCGAACACTCCCTTTAAATCCTAAAACATGTACTATTTATTCTATTTAACAGCTTTGACCTGCAAAATGTGTTTCGATGCTGAAAACTTGTATATCAACCTAAATACAAAAATCATTTATTTAAACAGCAAATTAAACATTTAAATTTTAAAAAGCTTCGCTTAATTTTATTTTTATTGGAGGTTTCTTATTTTCTTTTTTAACTCTAAAGCAAAGTTTTGTTCAATACTGACCCATTTTTTTTACTCAGAAACTCAGGGACATTTTTAGTTTGTTTGTCTCAGAAATATAGTTAATTTTCCATCTTTCCTAACTGAACAAGAAGCGTTTGTTAGTGAAATCGTTTGTTCAATAAAATAGTTCATTTGTTAAAGTTATTGTTTTTTTTTCAAAGGTTTGTTAAAAAGTTGTTCGTTTAGAGAAAAAAATAGTATTTTTTCAAATTCATTCTAAGGAATGATTAAGATATTGTTCGTAATGGTCTGACTTACCAATTAATTGGATTGCTAGTTAATGATCTTAAATAATTTTTATTTTATTTTCTTGTTTGGGTTCGAAAAATGTTTCAGCCATAATATTCAAAATAATTTACTAGCAAATTTGCAGGGTTTTTGCGCTAGGTATTTCAAACACGTCACATATCATACATTTTTGAAAAGCATTTACCCAAACTATTTTAAAACTGTAAATATATCTGCCATTATTACCTTAAAAATTTCCATTTTTGCCTATTTTTTTTGTAGTTAGAATTTTTCGCACTTTTTTGCACAAATTTAAAATATTTCATAATACACTTGACATATTATACTTATACTATTTTACATATGTAAAAGGCCATTTGCTTACTTTCTTAATAAGAATCATAGAATGTAAGTCTGAAATAGTTGTTTACTAAACCTGTGCAAAAAAGTATTGCACAACTGCACAAAAAGTGTTGCAAAACTAATTGAAACTAATATGGTTGATAACTCTTCTCAGCAGACTTCCAAAAACAAATAACTCTCCATTGTTGAATGAATAAAAGTTGTATTAAAAGCATAATTCATCTAGGAGGTAAAACAGAAGTCACAAAATAATTAAACTAATTCTTTTTTAAATTTTGCAAAAATATATTTAGGAAACTTTCAGCTCTTTAACCCTATTAGGTTTTAAGCAATTTTAAAAAACCATGGAATGGGTTTAATGATATTCAATAAAAAGTTTACTTTGTCCCAAGGTATTGTTTGAAGAACCTGGTACTCTCCTCCTTCTATATCCAAACTGCAATTGTAACAGTAAATACAATAGGTGGAAAAAGAGAAATGGACCAATTATACACAACATCACAAGTGTCAGGGAAAAAGAAATTTTCTCACATTATTTGACATGTTTTCCAAGATTAAATAAAAAGTAAAAACAGAAAATAAAGAACACAGAAAATTGCACTTATTTTACTGTGAGATAAGCACTTTATTTAAACATTATCACAATTATTAATAATTTTGTCGGACAAAAAAAATGAATTAACACTAGCTTGTGACGTAAGAAAATAGCTGTACCGAGAGTGTACAAATTCTACCATGCCATCTATTGTACTAGAATCTGTTCGGCAAAAAGTATTATTTTCAAGTATATTTATTAACCTTAAAAAGCTCTAGGTAATGCCCCACATTATATTTTGGGGGATCATAGTGGGGGTCATAGTGATTCATAGTGGGGGTGTATTGATTTAGGAATGATATAATTTTAAAATACACATTACAAGTTCCTTAGGTAAGATAAAATAATTAAAAACTCAGATATTGTGGCCTATGGCCGCCTGCCTTTTCCCTCCCTAGACATTTGTCTGCCAATTTGCAGCATACTTTTGAAGAGTGGGACATTAAATGGAAAATTATTATGTAATCATGTCAACAGGGACATTTGTCCTATTTTTGTTTAAAGTTTGTTTGAATCTGGTGAACCTGAACAACTGTAAAATTTTAAGTGCACTTTCGTCTCAGTTCGTAGCAAGGAACCCCTTCAGATATGTTTGTAAAAAAGAGATACCAAAGTTTTTTTATTGAAAATAATCAAAGAAATTGAGTCTTTGCCACAAACTCTGATTTTCCAATCCTAATATCTTTACAACCCAATGTCGTAGACCTGAGATATTTCAAACTATGAATTTTGTTAGATCAAATAATCAAAGTTTGAAATTTCAAAAGTTTACACTGTTGTATTCCGGATTGTTTGATATATGAGTGAACAGTCCCTTGAATCCAACAGGATGCCAGATGGATCAGTACATCCCGGACCGCTGCAGAGTAGACACAAGTCTCCCTGCACATAGCCGTCCTGGGACCTGTGCTATATACAGTGCACAGAAAGCTTACAGAGAGTATCCTTGTGGACGAGATCTACATTGAAGAAGATGAACCAGGTTCCTAACATAGTAAGGAACCCTGCCGTTGTTGGAGAGCTGGAACTAGATGGAGATGAAGTTGATCCAGCAGACGTCACCCCCTTCGTGAGCGGGAACGCCCCCATCATCACTGTCCCTGCTTCAGCAGATGAAGAAGCAGATGTAGAAGTTGTGGCAGGCGGAGCTGAAGGAAGACGAGATGAGATGGAAGACATGTACAACTTCCTAGGCGAGATTGTGGAGAAGATACAAACATTCAACTCCACCATGCAGGGAAGTAGTAACTCTGGTCAGCCACTAGTGGTCCCCGATGATAAACTGTGGGACACAGAGGCGGCCTGGGATAGAGAGTTCAGTCTCTATCCAGGTGCAAGCAGGAGTGACATTATCTCTCGCTTGTATAGACAGGTATGGGACCTGCTCCAGAAGATGAAGGAGCGTGTAACCCAGCAAACCTGGAAAAGAGAAGATCAAGATATTGTAGAAGGTTTGATCAACATACTGATCTTATCTGTACGCAATAATATCATCTCTAATGATCTTATAATAGAACAACCTAGGAAACCTTAACATTACCAAGGGATCTAAGGTTTATGTTCAGCTATTATTATGTATCTGATTTATGTATGCATTTATAAATGTAAGATTAAATGTATCAATAAATATACGTATACATATGAATGACTTTATTACTAGGGTGTTATTTATGTACGTGCATTTAAACATATAAGGCTATCTCGATATATGGAGATAGCTGAAGTATTGTAATGCCAGGTTACAAATATATGACAGCGCATGAGGAGTTAGGCCCGCGGAATAGGACTAACCCGATCTGCAATGTCAACAGGTTACACAAATGATAGATATAAACAGGTTTAAGTACTTGTATAAATCTCATTAAGTGTAGATTTTATATACCAGTTTATTGCACGTTTTTGTGGTTCCCAGATACCACAACACCAATAGTTTGCAAGGATATAAGGATTAGAACATTTGAGTGTGTGGCAAAGACTCAATTCCTTTACACTATTTCTACATAGATTATTTATATTGGCACTTCACAAATTCGGAAAAAAAGAGGGGTTTGGAAGCATAGCTTTTTAATGCTAAACTTCGAGGATCCTTTGTTAATGTTCATTGTATGATAGGAGAAGGATTGAGTGTAAAATCACGAATACTAACCACAAACTAACAGATGAAAAAAGATTAGGAAAAGTTAGAAAGCAAAAGGTTTAATGAAAAAATATCGATTTGGAACAATTTTAGCTAAAGAACATGATCAAAGTGTTTGGTCTGATTTTACATAAAATGTTCCCCTTTAGAAAAACAGTGAAGAGCAAATGTCAGGAAATGTTTAGCGGTTCTTAACACAGGGTGTTCTGATATCTTGGTTCTTAATACAGGGTGTTCTGATATCTTGGTTCTTAATACAGGGTGTTCTGATATCTTGGTCCGGAGATGTGTCAACATATTAAAATACAAAAGATGGCATACTTTCAAACTTATGCCACCATTCCCCCACCCTATCAATATGAGTACAGAATTACAAAAAGTGAATGTGATACAAACCTGAAGTAGTTGATGGTTGGGTTCCCAAGGGCCTGAAGTATGCTATAAAGAGGAAAACATTGTAGTTTAGAATGGATCAGTGTATTATCTCTTAGAACGAGGCCTGCATAGCTCAAACTAAAACATTGAAAACTTTGTTTTTAATTCCCGAAAGTTAGGAATTCCCAAAAGCGTGACACAGTTAAGGATCCTGAAAATTTGACAAGGTTAGAATCCTAAAAAATGTGACAATGGTAGGATACTTAACCCTTTTCCTGCCTTAAAGACTACTTTTTCCTGTAACACACTAAATCATTGTTTTAACCCATTTTCAGTTTTGTAAATTTTTAGCTATTTTGAAAGCCTATGACATAAGGAAACGGATTCACGAGTTTTGCACAGAAAATTTTGCAAATTATTTGCATAAAACCCGTCCAAACAAACTTGCACAGTTTTAGTTTTTCTTTATTACACATCAGGTTATTTAAAATTTTGCTAAATTTTTTGCATATTCTATATGGCATTTTTCATTTTTAGGGCATTTTTTTTTTGCAAACATTTTTACTCAATAACTGGATTTTGCAAAACAATCAATTTTCGCAAATTTTTTATTTTTTTGCAGAATCTAAAAGTAGAGCATAAAAGTTTTCTAATGATGTATCATTTGTCATATTTGTACATCAAACATGGGATTTACAGGGAAGGGGGAAGGTCAAGCAAAGAGAAAACAGGATTCTACATGCTCTCTTTTACAGATTAAATATGTGTACACTTCATGCTAAGGCCATCTTTAATGTGAAAAATAATTCTAAAATCTAGATCCATCCGATTCCACTTGTATTCACTTGTACTGTACTGTACTGTACTCAAGTACATATATTTACTCGAGATCTATTTACTCTAATGTATATAGTATACTGTAATGTACTTTACTGTACTATACTGTTCTGAACTGTACTGTACTGTACTGTACTATACTGTACTGTACTGTACAGGACTGTACTGTACTGTACTGTACTCTACAGTGCTGTACTTTACTGGACTGTACTGTACTGTACTGAACTGTACTGAACTGTACTGTACTGTACTGTACATGTACTGTACTTTACTGTACTGTACTGTACTGTACTGTACTGTACTGTACTGTACTGTACTGTACTGTAATGTACTGTACTGTACTGTACTGTACTGTACTGTACTGTACTGTACTGTACTATACTGTACTGTACTGCACTGTACTGTACTGTACTGTACTGTACTGTACTGTACTGTACTATACTGTACTGCTCGTTTTTTGTCTTGCAGGGTAAACTGGACCTGAATGGTGTTGTGGTAGTCCTAGGTATAGGGGAGAGGCATGTGTTTATACTAAACAAACAAATTAAAACAAAAATAAGAAAATTAGAACAATAGAAAGTGTATTAATAAGGACTAGTTAATGAATAGTTAGCCAAAAATATAAATTTTTCAGTCATTGTATTTTTGCAACTTTGATGGTTTAACATCAGTATTGAAATGATCAAAAGTTTAAATATAAGTGTTAATCAAACCCTGATGTGGGCGATCATGGGATTAAAATATTAGAATTTATGGTAGGTGTTCCTTCCTTGTTGTTGAAATCTAGAAGGTGCAATCATATTGAATGGTGTATTTAATATTCAATTTAAATTTAAATTGTGATTAAGAATTTTTCCCAAACAGGTTTTATATGAACTATCAATTAATTGCTTAGTAAATGATCAACTGAATGGATGTTTATTGGTTAACCATATGTAATTTCTGGCACAGATTCAATCTTCGTGAAGTTTATGTATTTATTTCTAGGTTTTAGTTTATTTTAGTTCCTGAATGCTTTTCTGTTCTTGGTTAAACCTTCTTTAAAATGCTGAGGATGAGGTTCAACCAGGAGACCCTAAAATATCGGTTTCTTACAAAATTAATAATTTACTTATCAGGCAACAAACAATTAATTCTGATGAATTTAGGGTTAGTATTAATTTAGGAATGACATCCTCCACCCGACCTCTAAAATAGGCTGCACATGTAACACAACCAGTTCTTCATCAAACTGTCTCTGGAGACAGTAATAGTGGTCATCACCTAAATGATCAAACTGTAGGCCTTCATATTGACCTGTTCCTGCATTTGCATACATGGGTTTCGGTACTGAAGGGGCTAGATCCCCTGAGACCAAAATATTGCTTGTTCTTCATCCAGGAATCAGTTAATCTAGTGGTATTGGGGGTAGTTATATCTTGAAAGAAACCAAATTTGTATTCACTGTATAAAATGTAAGGCCTATGAAGTTTAAAATCTTTTGGAACATTTTACTGTTGATAATTGAAAATTGAACATTGTTTAACCAATTTATTAAACTTTTACTACATAATTTTAACAGGTTTAAAAACTTCTTACAGAGGGTCAGGGATTATTCTTTCAGAAAAGCTTTATTTGTCAGATTAGTGCTGTTAAATAAGTTGTTGGTGCAGGTCCCCCTGGACACCCTATTGTCCCTAGCTAGGGCTGGGCATAGTTCCATTCAGGAAACAGATAAGCATTTCCAGGAATCCAAACCTTAGTATGAACACCCTAAGCTGGGTCTTTTAGATCATGAAGCATATCCAGCTAAATCAAATTTATCTATACAACCAGTACTTGAAAGACTCCCCTAGGTTCAACATTGGATCACAAGAAAATGTACACCATGTACAGTACAGCTTCTAATATGCCTAGAGCCAATCTCAGGATTTAGATCATCATCGGAGAACTGCACTGAGGGCTTATCAGCAACCGGATTTAAATAAAATTATGCAAAAAAGGGTGTAAAATTACATACCAAATGATAATCATGATCCTTCATTTTAAGGTTTGTTTTATATTGCAGTACACACAGTGTTTGTAAAAAAAAATTGGAAACAATTTTAATTTACTTAATAATCATTTTTAACAATTGATTGACTAAATAATACTAGATTGCGATACAAAAGCTCGCAAAATAACTGAAACAAACAATTTCATTAACCATGTCTTTGTGAAAAAATGAACAAAATAGATGAAATTTTTTTTTTGAAGAATTAAAAAAACAGTAACCATCTTTAAATACAACTTAGGCATTTTCAAATGTATCAAGTCGGTAACAAGAAAAAGAACCCTTATAATATAAATGTCACTTGTAAAAGTTGTAATACAACATAAAATGAATGGCACTTGTAAAAGTTGTAATGCAGTATAAAAAAGTCTACCTACCGTCCAGCCATGATTTATTTCAAAATATAGAGAATCCGAAGTCCTCTCAAAGTTGTTGGCACCAGCTTCAATAAAAAATCCATCTGAAAAAAGATTTTATTTCTAAAATGTATGTATTTTGATAGTTTAGTTCTTACTTTTTAACTTTCTGTTAAAAACAATTCTGTCCACTTCGTGTGGAACTTGTTCATGATGCCTAAACATATAATAACAGATAAAATAAATTGGGAATTTTAAATATTTAAAGTTTTATCAGTTTTGTTAAAAGTCCTTTTTTGTTACATATTAATAAATCTTACTTTGTGTAGAAGTCAATAGGATGCTTCAAATTGTAGTTCTCCTTTGATGGTTGAAAAATCAATTTGTTCCTAGAACATACTTTAGACACATTCAGGAATTTTGTTTATAACTTTAGGACTGTTTTTCCCTTTAAAATTCCATATCGTTTTTGACCCAATCCCTGCTAGGGTACTTGAAAATCTGGATATGCTGGGGGGAGGGGTCAATTTTATCCTACCCCCACCTCTAAATACAATGTTTGATGTCCAAATATGGCTAATGATACATCATTAGAGAGCTCTTGTGCTCTACATTTAGAATCTGCAAAAAAAAATTAGCAAATTTGCAAAAAAAACTTTTTTTGCAAAATTCAGTTATAAAGTAAAAATGCTTGCAAAAAAATGTCAAAAAATGATAAATTATACATTTTTAAAAAGCCCTTGACCATGCCATTTCAAATATGCAAAAAAAATTTGCAAAAGTTTTAATAACCAGTCAGTAAATTTCAACAGCCCCTGTTACAAAAAAACAACAGGGGGGGGGAGGGCCCCCAGAAAAAGGGTTAAATTAATTGGTTGAAGAAATTTAATTTCAATGTGTCAGGTACGGATATGTCGTCATCGCAATCAAATAACAAAAAAATATATGGATAGCGAATTCAAATTTTTTTATTCTGTTTTTACCTAATAATATCAGCCAACTGCAGGGAGTCCTGGTGTAAGCAGGATAAAAGCAAAATAGTTTCAATGGTGTACTTCTCTATCTCCTCTAGCTGTGAACCTGTCATAAAAAAGTTTAACCAAATTTCAGTGAAAAATTTATCCTAGTCAATATTGATCGCTCTTAAAGCATTGAATAAACTCTTTGCTTTTATTATGATGTATAGGCCACAGGCATGCCAATCTTTTCTCTTCACAATGTCACAAGAAGAGTATTTTGGTATTTTTGTTTGGTTTATTTGGTTTAAAAAGAGACACAATGATCTAATAGTTCGCTCCTTTTCCCAACAAGCTGTCAGTCGTAATCCCAATTTATTTAATTTTTTTTGTTTCTTCGTTTTTTTCTTTTCCGTTTTCCGTTTCAAAACAAAACAAAAAAAACGTTTTCCTTTTATCTTTTTTAACCCTAAACAGGCTGGGGGGGGGGGTGTTTGGCGCCCCCTGTAGTTTTTTTTGTCCTAGCACTATCATTTTTGACACTATCATCGTGAAATTTTCTGAATTTTATTGAATAGTAATTTAAAGGATTTCTTTAATGCATAGGGCTTGGTAAAGGGCGGAAAAAAAATCTAAAATAGCCCATAACTTTTTTGTGACTAAAGCTACATATCTAAAAACTATATCTTGAAAAATAGATATAGAAACATGTGTCACACTTTTTTTTTCATTTTTCTGACCCCTTTTTTGGCGTTTTTTTCAACCCTCCCTAGTTATCAGTCTAATTTTTTTTTCAATGTACTGGCATTGGCAAATTGCACAATTTTCAACTCTTTCAACCCTATTCTCTAAGGCCTTTTTCTGCCCCCCCCCCATCTACACATAGATCCAATCCCCCAGCCTTAATAGGGTTAAAACGAAAACGATCTTTTTCTTTTTTTCTGTATCAAAATCTTTTTTTTTGTTGATCGTTAACGATTGGGAATGTCTGTTAATGACGACCCTTAGATAAGAATAAAATACATTTTTTATCAAAAAAACCTAAAAATTCTTAAAATTTTCTTGCAGTAAACAAAGAAGTTAAATGTGGAATAACCATAGGTCAGAAAACATTATGTTCATTTCCCTCGATAAAAAAAACATTTAAAAAAAATTGAAATTATTATATGTTAAGAACTTTTTTTCAAAACAAGAGTTCCAAACAAATGATAAATTAGTTGTTTCTAAAAATGAAATTATCGCGTTTAGAAAACGAAACAAAAACGATAGTTTTTTAAAAAATCAATTTAAAACGATTTAAATCCCTACTTGCGACATTTTGGACTTTGGTATTTTTTTCTGCAGCTCCCATATTCATTATATTATACACACTACCATCCCTGATTTTAGAGCGATCATATGTAGAACTAGAAGCTTACACAAGTTGTAAAAAAGTTCAATAAATGTATTAGCTTCAAGTACATGCAGAAAAACAAAGAAAAAAAATTGTAATTGGGAAGGGGGCGTCATTCAGTCAGAATAGGGTTAACCATTTTCTCCGTATTTACGAAACAGATAAAATTAAAATTAGTGGCAATCAATATCAAATTCAATTGGATATCAGCTCCCTTTAAAAGTATACAAAAAACTAATTGTTTCATAATATGAAGTTCTTGTTTTTGCTTCCCATTGTAATTAATGTATTTGAATAAAATTTTTTTATGAAATCTAGATTTAACAGCAGTTAAATGTTAATTATTTGATCAAACTAATTTTATTACCTTGTTCAGAAATACCCAGAAGATCATCTCCAAACTCAGATCCTTTAGTATTATCTTCCTGCCGGGCAGGAACATTTTTTATGTGAACCTCATTTGATACTGAAAAAAGCTTCAGTCAAATGACCCAAAGGAATTGAGTCATTGCCACAAAATTAGATTTTCTAATCCCTATATCTTCACATCATGATGGTGTAAACCTTTGATATTACAAACTTTATTATTTTGATCTCACTGAATTCAGAGTCGAAATATCTAACTTCTATCACTTTGGCTTGCAAAGATATAAAGATTTGAAAATCAGAGTTTGTGGCAAAGACTCAATTCCTTTAGTGTCATTTGAAAAATTGAAATATCAAAGTAATTCATGATCGTTTTACAATAATTGTTGAGATTTAAAAGTTTTACTTTTCATTCTTATACAGTTTTATGTTTGGAGTATCTATTTACTATTTACGTTTAAAATGTCCTAAACATCAACAATTCAGCGATCACTGTTAAATATTTCTTTACCTACTGTTAGTGGATATTTAAGCGGATGAGTTAAGTTATTGTCATCCTTCCATATCCTTAAAATGAACATTTAAAAACTAAACATTTAATGATAAAAGTTCAGACGCTATAGCTTTCAAAACATTAACTATCTTGACCAGCTATTCACCTTCTGATGAGAACGTAGAACTAGAGTCTTTGCCACAATTTTATACTTTCTAGTCCCTATCCAGTAAACAGACCTGAGGCCGAATTTTAAAAAATTGAGCCGCGGCTTAAATTCAAGCGGCGGTTAAAATATGGTTGGTTCCACTTAAAATCGTATTCATTGTTTCAAGATTTAAGCCGACGGTCAATTGAACCGGATTTTGGCGGATTCAAGACGCGGCTCAAATTCATAAAATTCGGACACTGGTTTGAATTACTATTGTTTTAAACTAGTTTGTAAAAAGTCGACCTAATGTTGGAAATATGTAAACTTTTGGATACTAGTCATCAACATCAAAACCATCAAGAATTTAAGTTTTTCATTCAAGTTTTGGCCAAGATTGAACTTTGACAAAAATTGGTGTAATATGCTGAGACTCAATAATACCTCGACTTTTAAAAATCAGTTTTGCAAACTTGGAATAAATAATCGTAAAAATCATGAGTCAACAACAAAGAGAAAACAAAGAGGAGATGATAAGAGATAATGGAAGAGAAGAAAAGAAAAAGAGAAGCGAAGAAAAATGAAGAAAAAAGAAGAGAATGAAAAAGAAGAAAAGACAGGAGAAGAGAAAAGAAGACTAGAAAATAGAAGAGAAGAGAGAGAAGAGTAGAAAATAGAAGAGAAGAGAAAGAAGAAAAATAGATTGCGTGAAAGAGAGAGAGCTTGCATTTTAAAACGTTTTATCATAAAAATATGTTTAAGAATACCTTAAACTTTAAAATTAACTTTATTGTAAAATTCTATGATATTTTTGAAAAAAATAGTTGTCCTAATAGTTTCAGCTTAAATACCACTTCTGACTTTATTTAAACCCGAATTTTAACCCCGGGTTGAAATATTTAACTCGGCAAAATCGACGAGTTAAAATTTAAACCCAGGGTAGGGTTAAAATCTTGAAATCCCGCATTTTCCAAATTAGTCTATCAATCAATCATCATTCAGATAAGAAAGCGGCATTCAACTTTAAGTTATATTTAAAAGTGAAAACCTTGATTGAATAAATTTTATGTTTTAGATTAATTAATGTTTGCATGTATAAACCCAAAAAAACGGTCGTACACTGGTATTTTTCCTACTCCACCGAGTCTCCATTGAAGGGTATTATACGGGGGGGGGGGACACTGAATTTTTTTTGTTCCATAGCTGATGCTGGGATTTTTATCTATTTAGGTTACAGTGCAAGGAGAGGCAGGAAACCCCTAGCCGCCATGAGCCTCCGCTATGCAGAATCGAGCCTCCAAGATTTGATATTTAGTACGAGCCTCATTCATGCCTCTACTATCCAGTAAACGAGCCTACGCTATACAATACAGCACACAGCAATATTTAAAACTTCTGGTTTGTACAGTAATATACTCCTTTTATATATAATCGTCTGCAATATAAATTGCAAAGTAAAAATCCAAATACTTCTCGTGATTACATTTTGGAAAACCTAAAATTATTAAAATGCTGATGTGGTAACTACTATTTGGTTTCTGAAAAATCCATTTTGTTGAGTCACCTGTATATTCAAATATAAAGCTTACCTCGGTAATCCAACTCGTCTGGAAATATATTAACAGCCATAAAGAATAAAATATGGTTTACGGGCTTGGCAAATCCATGATCTTTGGGCTTTCTCACAATAGCTATCTATCTAATCAAAATCAAGGTTGCAAGACTTATTTCCATGCTTTTTCGATAAGTATTTCCCTTTGCAATACAGATTTTAAAATTTAAAATTAAATTACAATATTGGAATAACTGCTAAATATTTTCCTAATGTTTTCTTCACATTCTGAATTGTAGAGAATGGTTGATTTCACTAACCAAATATGCAAAAAACAGACTACACATTTCTTCAAAAAGTCCATTCTGAAAAAATCCTAGATCAGATTCGGTCAACTATTTAGCAATATTTTACAGAATTATTACTTGAGAAATAATGGTTTTCTTTTATATATTTAAAGTATCAGAAATATTTCCAAGGCTCGCACAAAACGACCAAGACGTCTTTATTGTCTCATTCTTTTTGGGTAACCCTGTATGTAAAAACGGGTAGTATGCGAAAGAAGCCACATAATTTATGTTACCTGATGGCGGGTGGGGGGGGGACCAACGTTTATAAAATAAAAGCTAAATGTACAAATTTAGATTTTTATCGAACAAAAATTTAACGAGAATTTTGCGATTATGGACGAAATTTTCGCAAAAATGAGATAGAAAATTTTGTCGAAAGTACATCGAAATTCGCGAATATTTTGAACGAAACTTGTCTAGTTTCGCTCGTCCATTTTTGCAAACTTCATTTCGTTGGAAAACTTACATATAAAAAACTTTTTGTCCCAAGTTTGTGGACAAGTTCAAAACTGGGATAAAAAAGCCGACTTTTTATGACTTTTTCATCCCAGTTTGTGGACTAGTTATTACAAGTCGACTTTTATCTGACTTTAAGTCGACTTTAAAGTCAATTTTTTCTAAACTAGTTGTTAACTAGTATTCCAGTTCTGAGTGCTGGGGAACTCACTGCAACAATATGTTTGTCTAATAGCTATTTCTTTGCAACATGATGTCATAGACCTTATTCAAACTATTGCTAGCACAAAGAGTAAAAGTTTACACCATCAGACTGCAAATAAAAGGGATACTAAAATTGAGGTTGTTAAGAAATGTTCCTGACATAACTGTTTTATAATCGTTTTCGAGAAAAATGGGGTTTGAAAAATCCACTGAAGGTATAATGCTGCATCATAAAGATCAATAAACACTCAAAAAAGTAAAATAAAGGTTTCTTAGAATCGAATACAAAACTAAAATATTGAAAAATATCAAAAAAGAGACCAAATTAAAAGTATTTTTAAGATCTTAATACTTCTTGCTTGTAAATATCCAATGCATGCATGCCAATATGCTCAACGCGGATTTTTTTTCCAAAATTAAGACACATGTCTTTCTTATTTCAATACTGTGATACAAATCTACAACATTTGATACACTTTTGGAAAGCCCCTGCGCTCTACTTTAATAATCTGCAAAAAATTTGCAAATTTGGAAAATTTCAGATATTTATTGCAATTTCAAGTTATTAAGCAATAAATGGGCAAAAACAAAAAGTGCGCAAAATATGATAAACTAGACATTTTTGAAAAACCCTTTCCAGGGCGAATTCAAAAATAAAGAATATTTGCAAAGTTTTCAAAAACTGAATGGAATCTGTGGAAAAACCTTGGCAAAATTTCTTCGCAAAAATTGTCCTATCTGCTTTATTTTGTTCCAGGCTTTCTAAAGAGCTATAAAAATCAAATCCATGAAGTTGGTCTAAATACAGATTTAGTCTGGTATTCGAAGGCAGTATGCCTGAAGACTCAGGCAGTAGGTATAAAAGCCCTGCTTTGAGTCTGAAGTATGGGGAATGTTTTAGAACATTCAAAAAGTTTTAAAAGCCTCAGACGAATACTTTTTGAGTTATCTTCAAAGAACGTAGGTTTAAAGATGTGACTTGGTCTTTAAGCCTGTTTAAAGTTTTTTTTTATGAATATATCTTTTAACTATTTCTGATGAGCAAATGGCCTTTATAGGGCAGAGATAAAATTTTGTATGCATATTTTACAGGGTTTGTTTAAATCTTTTTGACAGGAGGAGCTGTAAAAGTTACAAATAACAACATTCAAAAGCTAAATGTAATGGCTTATTATATTATAATAAGGATAACTTTCATTCCGGTTTTTACTGTGCTGAAAGTAAGGTTGTTAATTGTTTTAAAAAACGGTAGAAATATCATGTTTTTTCATTTCGTTTTCTTTTTTTCTAAAAACGATTGTTTCGTTTTTTGAAAAAAACGAACGTGTTTGAAAACTAACCAATCGTTTTGAACCTTTAAAAAACAACAAACGATAGTTTTTTACAACGGTTTTGTTTTTAAAAACTTTCCTTTTTTATAAAAACGATCATTTCTGAGAACATTCTCTCTAATAAATCAGAGTTTTATGACAATTAATTTCAATTTTTCAGTAAGAAAAGTTTATGAATGTTGTCTTAAATAGTTTTTATCCAACCAAAAAAAATATTTTGTCTTGAAAAGGTTGCTACCGATTGTTAACAAAGGTTTGTCGTTAACGATCTTTAGAACGTCAAAATTTTAAACGACCTACTTTCGTTAAAAAAACGATAGTTTTAGTATTGTATTGTATTGTAATGTATTGTATTGTATTGTATTGTATTGTATTGTATTGTATTGTATTATATTGTATTGTATTGTATTGTATCTCAACCATAAAGCAAAGATACCTATTTCTTTTTTATATTTAGTAGAAAAAACTTCCAGATTTACGAACTCAATTTTTATAGATCTAAAATAAACAGAAATCTTATATAGATTTTTAAATAATAAGACAATGTTAAGACAAGCTGGGAAAAGACAAGCCGGGATGATATAAGCTGGGATAAGATATGGTGGGATAAGATAAGCTGGGATAAGATAAGCTGGGATAAGATAAGCTGGGATAAGATAAGATGGGAAAAGATATGTTGTCAGGAGATAAGCTGTGATAAAAAATGCTGCGAAAAGATAAGCTGTGATAAGACAAGCTGGGATAAGACAAGCTGTTAANGGGAAAAGATATGTTGTCAGGAGATAAGATTATATTATAATAAGGACAACTTTTATTCCGGTTATTACTGTGCTGAAAGTAAGGTTGTTAATTGTTTTAAAAAACGGTAGAATTAGAAAATATCATGTTTTTTTCATTTTGTTTTCTTTTTTTCTAAAAACGATTGTTTCGTTTTTTGAAAAAAAGCGAACGTGTTTGGAAACTATCCAATCGTTTTGAACCTTTAAAAAACAACAAACGATAGTTTTTTTACAACGGTTTTGTTTTTAAAAACTTTTTTTTTTATAAAAACGATCATTTCTGAGAACATTTAATTTCAATTTTTCAGTAAGAGAAGTTTATGAATGTTGTCGACTTAAATAGTTGTTATCCGACCAAAAAAATATTATGTCCTAAAAAGGTTGCTACCGATTGTTAAGAAAGGTTTGTCGTTAACGATCTTTAGAACGTCAAAATTTTAAACGACCTACTTTCGTTAAAAAAACGATAGTTTTTCAAAAACTTGAAAACGATCCATCTCTAACTGCAAGACAAAAATTTAAAGAAACTTTTGTCTTAAAAAAAAGATAAAACATGCTTTATATATATTTATAAATATTTAACTTATTTATTATTAGGATCATATAAATACACTTTTAAAAATACAAAGTTTTGAGCGTTGTTACATGAACTAAACAAAGTAAAAAACAGATTAAACTCGGAAAAGGAAAATCGTTATTAAGGGTGCAATTGCATTTCCTTCTTTGATACATAATTGTTGGTTAAATAGTTGTTTACCATCAAAAAAGTACAAAAGGTGGCAAAGTAGAAGTCACACACTTTTAGTGTTTTCCTGCAGTAGAAATGCGACAAGTAACTTCTGTAGAGAAATCACAATTGAAAATAATCAGTTTCCTAAATTATAAACATTGATATCATACTTGACCAGATAATTGTTTTAATGGTAACAACCTTGTGAATCAAGGATTGCCAATTTTTCGCTGCCACCTATTGTACTTGCAATTGCAAACATTTCTCTTTATAAAACTTCGGGTTGCTAAAAATACTAAGAACATAAGGGTTGATGTTTTTATTCTAATACGATGTTAGGAACTTTCCAATTTATAAATTAAATTATTAAATTATCAAACCATTGACATGAATTACTTTCCCTTGGTTTTTACAGTTTCTATACTCGGGGTCGTCATTCTTTACATCTAATTCTAGACTGAACTGGGTATAGTCAATGTCCCTGTAGGTCTGGTAATTGTATTGACAGGGTAGATTATAGAATAATTCAGAATACTCCCAACCCATCAGAGTAAACAAATCCTTAAATAAAATATAGATTTTTATCAAACAAGATTTGATTGTACAAAACAAAACTACGTTGTAACAAGTATATAATTTCTGTCAAGACATTTTAACATTATGACAGGGATACAAGTTAATAATTTGTTTCAATTAATTAGATTTTTTTTGTATGATATTGTGTTACCTGATCCCCCAGTCCTCCATAGAAATACTTAGTTGTCGCCATCTTGTAAAACTCTGGATTAATCAGCTGATTGAACAGCTGACTTTCTCGAATATTCTTAAGGTTGTAAATCACAACCCCAGTGTTGAACCCCTGTACGATTTGCAAAGGTTAATACAAGTAAAATATGACACCTTGAACAAATTTTAAAAGCTGTACAAGCTGTATTAGCTGTTAATTTAAATTGTACAATCTGTACACACTGTACATGCTATCTATACCTGCCATTTCCCCGGTTGACCAACTGAAGAACCTGGATTTTCTTGGATAAATGATGCTGCTCTTAATCTGTAATATCTAGTCAGTTCAGGACCTACTCCAATCAACTCACTGAAACAGTTATACATTAAAGACTATGAAGGTTTAATGGTAGAAATTAGTCTTAACTCTTACTAAAACCTACTCAGTAATTACACACAATAAAACATCTTATTAGTATCAAATGAATCCTAAAATTTGTCTCTATAATACTGCACTATGTTGCCTAGTCAGTCTCTCCCTAAGCAGAAATTTAAGATAGTATCGTTGAATGAAGTTTCCTTTTTGAAGTCCAAACATTTTTGTAGATATTAATTAAAGAATTTGAAAAGAAAAACAACTATATAATTATATGAAATAATACATAGTAAGGTGAGCCAAAAATGTGCAAAAATTGTGCAATCTGCTTCCTTTTGTTGTAGGCTTTCCAAAGAGCTATAAAATGTTGAAATTCAATGACTGGAATTAGGTCTAAATTTGGATTTAGTCTGGTAAAGGTAAAATAAGGGATTCAGGGAATATGCTTGACGACTCAGGCAGTAGGTATAAAAGCTCAGCATGTATCATTTAGAAAAGTAAAAATATGAACAGCCTCAGACTAATACTTTTTGAGTTATAGCAAAAAAACGACTGAGGGGTTATAGGTCTGAATTGGGTATTTTACCCAAAAAAACTACCTGTTTTTCATATTTTTGTGCTCGTTCCAAAGTTCTATAAGATCAATCCTAAAATATATTTGGTATTTGAAATTAGGGTGAAACTATTTCTTCAATATTGAATGACCCTACCAGCACCACCCAACAAAATCATCTAGAAGGAAAACAAAATTATAAATCAAACATTTTTCATTAGTCAACAAACTAGAAAAAATTGTGGATCATTAAAAGACTAAATAGGTCGATCTTTCAATTTGTTTCAATATTAAAATTAGTATAAAGAAATGCATCCTTAACCCTAAACGGGCTGAAGGGAGGGGAGTTTGATGACCCCCTTCTTCTGTTTTTTTTGCCCTCGCACTATCGTTTTTTGACACTATCACCTTGACATTTACTTTAAGGAGTAGTAAATTAAAGGAATTTCAAGGTTAAAATAGCCATTTTTTTTGAAAGGCTACAGATCTAAAAACTACATTTTAAAAAGCCCTTGAAAAATGGAAGAATGAATATGTGTCACAATATTAATATTTGTCAGATACAAAACAAATAAAAAAAAAATATAAATATTTTCCAACCCTTTTTAAACATTTTTTCTAATGCCTTTTCTAGGGCGTGAGACGCAGTCTTTATAGGGTTAACCTGCACTGAATTGCCCATCTTCATTAAAGGTAGTGACCGGCTATGTAAGGTAGTTGAACTAAGTATGCAGTGCATTGTGGAAAACTTCTTTCGGATTCATTTGAGACATATTAAAGTTTTTAAAGATCTGTAAATCCTGAGTTTGAGCACAAATTCGACGTTCAAAACATCTACTTTGGGGGTGGATACGTTTTCAGAATTGTTTTTTTTTAAATTATTTATTATTATTCGTTTTGTTCGTTTACAATATTATTGTTAAATTTCCATCTCTTTTGTTCGTTTTCTCATTAAACAATCGTTCAGTAAAATCGTTATTTCAGTAAAATTTTTTGTTCAGTAAAATCGTTTGTTTAGTAAAATTGTTTGTTCAGTAAAATCGTTTGTTCAGTAAAATCGTTTGTTTAGTAAAATCGTTTGTTCGGTAAAATCGCTTGTTCAGCAAAATCGTTTGTTCAGTAAAATTGTGTGTTCAATTAAATTGTTCGTCTATTAAAAAAACAATTGTATTTTCAAAATCTTTTGGAAATTTGCTTTTTCCTTCATTATATGTTAAAATACTTTAGTTGTTAACCCTATTCCTACGGGGGTTGGGGGGTCATTCCTGAAGTTTTTTCACATAACTCAAAAAGTATTGGTCTGAGGCTGTTGAAATTTTCTGACTTTTCCTAAATACTCATTGCCCTCTCTTTAGGTCTAAAACTGGGCTTTTATGCTAATTGCCTGAGTCTGAATGACTACTTTTCCCTGTAACAAACTAAATCTTTGTTTTGACCCACTTTAAGTTGTCAAATTTAGATAATTTTTCATTTTTTGGAAAGCCTATGCATAAGGAAACAGAATGCACAAGTTTTTCAAAGAAATTTTTGCTAAATATTTGCATACAACACGTCAAAAGAAATTTTCACACTTTTATTTTTTCTTAATTACACATCATTTTTGCAAACCCACGCAGCGTATCCTGATTTTCAAGTACCCCAGCAGGGATAGGGTTAAAAAGTTTGTTTTGAATAATCGTTAGTTCAGTAAATAAAATATTGCTATGATTTTTTTTCGTTCGTTTTTTAAAACTATCTTTTTTATTTCTCCGAACGATCCAAGTTATTTTAGCAAGGTTTGTTTATTTTGTGAACGACAACATCATTAACGAAATATTGTATTTATCTTTTTCATAATTAATTTTTGAAAAGAAACTGATATGCCCAACTCTACTCTACGGTACAGATGTTTCTGCAAGAACTCGAAAACTGTCCAAGATCCAAGCATTACTCGGCTCTAAGAATTAATGAATTATTTAGGAAGGAAATAACCGGTATAACTGGCGTGCGGTGTTAGGTAGCCAGATTGTAAACAGTGCAGTACACTCTGTTATATAATTAAGTATAAAAGGGCAACAAGTGTGTATGGGTCAGGGAGCAAGGAATAGAAAGGAGAGACAACTGACGCGGTTCGCCCTACCATATGATTATACATGCTTTGCAGACAGTACTCCATTTTATATCGAGCTGTTTGATTTTTTAGTAGGGCCCCACAGGAAAAATATGTATTGGCTCAATTTTCTTTCACCAGTTTCGCCAATACATATTTTTCCTGTAGGGCCCTACTAAAGAAACCAAACAGCTCGATATAAAATTTTACAAATTTAAAATTACAAATAAAGAATCACTTGCAAATGTGTCTCCTGTCCCTTACTTGAACTCTAGATCTACGTCAAGCACCAGCAAGATCTTGATTGCATCAGGATACTCAAGATGATACATTGGTCCAATATAGAATAGATCCTAGATAATACTGTATACAGGGATATAATATAGATATATGCATATTTTACAGGGTTTGTTTAAATCTTTTTGACAGGAGGAGCTGTAAAAGTTACAAATAACAACATTCAAAAGCTAAATGTAATGGCTTAACCCTATCTCTGCTGGGGTACTTGAAAACCAGGATATGCTGGGGGGGGGGCCAACGTTTATAAAATAAAAGCTAAATGTGAAACTTTGGAACAGTGTATGCTAAGACTAATCCAACGTCAGCAATTCTTGCCCCCCCCCCCCCTCCATCTCCTTATGCTAACTACTTAATTGAGTGTATTTACATAAAATGCAGGGACATTTTTTTCAAATTATGTTATTTTTTCTTGATGCAATAAAATATCTTAATTTTGGTTGAGGGAGGACGGCTGTAAGTTTTCAACCCTGTTTAAATGTAAACAAATATATTGCTTGTCATCTTCACTTTCAGGTTTCAATATTTCATACAAAGCAAAGACGACCTCGTTCTTTAATTATGTTAATTAATCAATTTTTATTCTATAATTGTTTTATAACTGACAAGTCCTCAATTTGTAATCACTGCCACCTCAATTTGTAATCAGGAATAAAAATGTTACCTTCGAAAACGAACCATTCGTTTTAAACTTTAAAAAAACGATCGTGTGTTTAAAAACATTCGTTAAAAAAATGTAAAACGATTGTTTTTGAAAACGATCATTTAAAAAAATTTGTGACAGTTAGTTTTATTTTTTTTAGAAAGATAAGGTTATGAATGTTGTCTTAAATGTTTTTTTTATTGGCTAAATGTTTTCTGACCTCGGATTTTCAGACCAACATTTTTAACTCTATAAATGGTTGTTAACGATCATTAACAAAGGGTCTTGTGAACAGTTGTTAAGAAAGGATTAACGGTCGTTAATAAAGGGTTGATTTCAAAAATGACAAACGATCGTTTTTTTAAACAATCGTTTGTATTAAAAGGATTGTTTTTTTAACAAAAATAGATCGTTTTTAAAACGACTGTTTTTTTAAAAACACTATTTTTTTGAAAACATCGTTTTAAAAAACGATCGTTTCATTTTTGTTTTTACTTTTGTTGTTTTCAAAACAAAATAATCTTTATTTCATCACGAGCTAAACTCGTTGGAAAATTTGTGTTTTCTTTGTTGGGTATTAACCTCTGTTAGTTGCCCTATGGACGGTGTAAAATATTGTTAAAGCTGTCTTTATTGGTCTGTTCTGAAAATAAATCTAAAAAAATGTCTCATGAAGTGCTAAATATAAAATAAGATTTTGTGTATCAAATTTTGCTCTAAAATTATTTGTGGCATTCTCCTCTCTATGATTTTTCCATTGTATTCGCATACCCGTTGTCCCTCCTCTCTCTCCTTTCCCCATTGTGCCC